GAGGGGCCGAAGGATTCCGGGCAGCCGGGAGCCGGAGGCAGGCTGGGACATGGCTGAAGGTGGATTTTCGGTGGATTGCCTTTCTCTGCCGGCAGAGCTGTTCTGAGAGGAGCTGGGTGTGCCCCAGAGCTCTTCCTCCGGCGCAGGAAGCCGCGGCGGGGGTCACGCTGTCCTCGGAGCGGCCCGCGGGCGATGCCTGCCTCTCCCACTCTGCTTCTCCACAGCTTTCCCAACCTGCTTGCGAAGCAGTGATTTTGTTGTTGGGTTGGTAGTTTGGTTTTTTTTTTTTAAATGAATTAATTTTATTTTTTGTATGAATGGAGCGTGGTTTTGTGAATGTTCTCGACGGGATGTGAAGCCACAGATGTTTGCTCATTAAGTTCTGCAGAGCCGCTGCCGGAGGCAGCACCAAGCGCTTGGCAGAGCTCTGGGGTTTGACGTTTTTCCTTCCTGCCCCCTTCTCTGCTACACAAACCCCGAGCTCGCCCTTTGCTCTGTGATGGCAGCCCCCACCTCTGCCCCCTCATCCCTCCTCCTGTGCTTTGGGGTGGCACCTCTCCCTTAGAGGTCCCCCGGGCAGGGTCCTGGGGAAGGAGCCTGGGTCTTGTGTCTTTATTTCCTTGGCCACAGCCGCCAGAGAAGGCAGAGGATAATGAGGTCAGAAGTCTCGGTGATTAGTATTTGATAAGGTTCACTGACATTTTATCTTTTGTCTCCATAGAGAGGAGGAAAACATGGTGAATTAAGAACATCCGTCCTGGCAGGGCCAGCCCTCCCTGAGCGCCGGCTCTGGGTCAGGCTGGGCTCCTGCCTCTTGGGACGTGAAGCCTCTGAGACCCCAGCTCCTGGCTGCAATGAGCACAGAGTCCCCGGGTGTCCTTGGGCTCCTCTCCGGCTGCCCACCCGCTTCCCCCGGGAAGGTTACCTGTTCTTCGGTGGTACGTGCTGTGCCCTGAGTGGGAGCTGCGCTCCTCAGTGTCTCCTGGCAGCACGGGGACAGCACGGATAAACAGAACTCGACATTGCGCAAGTCTGCGTTTTGCGGATTATTGAGGCGCTCCTGTTTCGTGGCCGGGCTCCGAAGCCCATCATGGCATTGAATGAAGCACGAGTGGCTTTGACAGAGCTTTCCCCCATTTTCTAATGCTGCTCCCCTTTCGCCTGTCTCTGTCTTTGCCTGGGCCAGGAGGAACCAGGAGCTGCCAGCGAGCTCCTGCCTGCACGGCCGCTGCAGCCGCTGCCCTGCCCAGCCAGGGACGGTGCCACAGACCTGCTGCTGTCTGTCCTGCCTGCTGCTGTCTGTCCTGCCTGCCACGGTGGCTGGCGAGCCAGTGCTGCTCACCCCTGAGGATGCTGAGGTTGAGCAGGGCCACCAGCCCTTGGCAAAGGGACAGGGGTGGAGGATTTCACAGCCTGGCACTGCAGAGCAGCTCAGCACTCGATTTTCTGACCCCTTGGGAAAGCCGAGGGTTAATCAAGGGCTTTGAGCCCCTTCAGAAAACGTGTGTCCGAGTCAAAAATTAGCGACTCGTAAAAATAGACACGGATGAGCCGTAGAAGGATGTGAGCTGATAGATTTACCACAAATGACGTTAGTCTGCAGCTCTAAGGTAGAAGTTTTCTGAGGCAAAGGTTTCTTCAGAAACATCAACGGGAGAACTGCCGCATGCTAGTGAGACTGAAAAATAGTGCTTGCTTGAGGGGATGTAAACGTTTTCGGGTGTCGTTCTGACAGACGCAAAGATGACTGCGGGGGAAGTTCACCTGGGTGAAGCACTGCAGTACCAAGCGCCAGAGCGTGGGCTGAGGCGGTCCCGGGGGGCTCTGGGAGTGGGCAGCCCCTCGGAGCTGTGGGGAGGGGGATGATGCTGCTCCCAGCCCTGCGGAGCACTCGTCCTGATGGGTTCCCCGCGAGCCAGGGAGACCCGGGCGATCACTGTGACCACCTTGGCTTTGGTCCTTCTGCCCCCAAACGATGGGGAGAGTGGGGCTTCCCCATCCTGCGCAGCCACTGCGGTTGGAGAGTTTCTTCCATGGGTGATCGTGGGTGGATGTTCCAGTATGAATGTCTTTGGGGCAAAGCTTTCCCAGTATAACCCCTAGAAAGCACTGGTCATGGGCTGGAGCCTTCGTCAGCCCTGAGCGTAAACCCATCACCAGGAGGGGGTTTGCCTCCCGTTACCAGCAGACTCCTCACCGTGTCTGCCTGAGAGCACAAGTGAGACCGTTGTGCTGCCAGGGCAATCCTCAGCCAGGCAAGAAAACCCCAAGCAGGTCTTGCTGTGACAAATCTTCTTTTACTTACACAGGGGCTTCCACATATGGAAGGGGAAGTGGGGAAAAAACATGCCCGTCCCTGCCAAAAGGCGCTGCTCTGCCAGTAACTGGCCTCTGTTTCCTAAAGCTGCTCCTGCAAACGTTTGGTGTGTTGAATTAGGGCTTCCTGCTGCCTTCTAACCCACGGCCTTCTCCGTGGCCTGACCCTGTCTTGGTCTTGCTCTGCTTCTGACCTTGCTGTCTGCAGCCACAGCCCCGGCTCCAATGCGTTCGGCGTCACAACTTCCCTTGAGCAGGAATAGCTGTTGCAAGGGGGTGTGAGCTCCTCTGCCTGTAAGTCACTTGGAAGGCCAGGAAGTACTCGGTTAATTAACAAAACTGGAGGAGAGAGTCGTTTTAACCATCTCTGAGAAGAGTTTCTTATTGATTCAGAAAAAGTCTGGGATTCGGGACTACCCTCTGGCTACGGACCGGTCCAGTTCTCTCCGTGCATCCCCTGGTCCTCCCTGTGACGGGCCCTTTGGCCGTGTCCCCCGAGGCTTCGTGTGCTTCAGCTCCCCAGAAAATGCCGTGTGACACACAGAGCCACGTTTTAGACTGTGTCTGTGGAAAGGGGCACACGGTGGGAGACAGACACGGGACCGAGGAGGTGAGCCGTGTGCCATTGCCGTGGTTCATCCTCCATCGGGATTCACCATCTTGACTGTCAGGCCAGCATATGAGTCTATAACATTGCTTGAGGCCGGCTTTTGCATCCTGTTTTGTAATTTTCTTTGACATTCCCCACATTCCTGGCAAGGAGACTTCTGTATTTTTTCTGAAATGTTCCTTTGTCTCTTTGCAAAACTGTGACATCCTTTAAAACTGCCTCTCAAAATGTCCGTTGGCTTCCTCTCCCCAGCAGCTTCTGAGAGATTCGTAAGGAAAGGGAAAGCCTTGAGCTTCGACTCCAGCCTCAACACTGTCCCCTTCCAGTGGGGGGAAAGGGGTCTAAAGGAGAGAGGAAGGGTCCCGGACTCCTGTTTGACTCAGGTGACCTCCTGAAACCTCAGGTCTGTGCTATCTGGTTCCACCCTTGTCCTACGGTTTCACTCTGACCTCCATGTTCCTGTGATGATGATGCTCATCAGCTGGGCTGTCGCCGCGGCAGCCTGCCTGGACAGCGCGGTCTGGAGGCTCCTGGGTTTGGGGGAGAGCTTTGGGTAGGGCAGAAGCCACCGCAGTGGTCCTTGGTTGGTGTCCCGTCTCCAGCGCTGGCCTCTTTGCTCCTACCTCCAGGGTGTGAGGTGGCAAGCTGAGGCCCGGGAGGGAGGTTTTGCAGTGCTGTATCCCTTGTTAGCGGATGAGAAACCTTCCGCCTTTCCCACCGGGAATCAGAAACAAGGTGAGAAAGAACTAAGGTGGTGGTGAAGCCCACGGTGTGACCTAGTGGAGAGTTAGACTTGGATCAGCACAGCTGCGTCAGGATCTGTCTGGTGAACACGTTGTACTCCCTCGGTCACCCTATAGCCAGCCTTCAGCGAGGCCTGGAGAAGACTAGCAGAAGAAGGAGAAGCATGAGTCAACAAGCCAACCCGCAGGTCCCCGTGCCAGCTCTTCTGGGGCTGGGGTCCTCCTCCCTTGTTTCTCCAAGCAGCAGCTCCCCAGGACGCACAGGGAGCCCCTTGGATGGGCTGTGCCAGCTCCTCCTTTCTCCCATGAGCACTGGGACCTTCTCTGTGCCCCAGAAGGTCCCTCTCAGCCGCCTCTCCTGGGCAGCGTTTCAGTTTGCTCCGGACGAGGGGACGCCTGGCTGCCTCTCCCATCGCTTTGAAGCCAGCAAAGGCTTTCTCCTCCCTTCTCTCCCACCTACAGATGTTGGCTGACTGGAGACCCAGGAGGCAGCTGCTGCTCTTTAGCTGCAGCTGGAAATTAGTCTAGTTTCCTCCTGTGGCGCCATGGTACCATTAATGACAGGAAGGTCCGGCCAGGGACCAGCGGTGGAAGAGGCTTTTCCTGGGGAGAATTGGACCAAAATCCCCTTGTCGAGGGGGAGGGCTGCCTGTGCCTCCCCGCACACCTCGTCCCAGTGCTGGCGTGTGGGTGTCCCCTGTGGAGAGCCAGCCTTGGCCACCCCAAACCTCCAGCAGGCACCTGCAGCCTCGGCTGGGTTTGCTGTCCGCTGTCGTGTGTGCACAGAAAGGTCTTTTTCACTCTAAAATATGGTTATTGTTTGTTATCGGTTGGCTAAATCCACCGCAGGCCTTTAGCAATACTCTCCTTGCAGGGCGAGCGCTGAGTGCCAGGAGGATCAAGACCTCTCGGGTCAGGGGTTTCATTAACCCGCTCTGTCAAAACAGCTTTGTGGGGTCCCTGAGCAGCTCCAGCGTGCTGGGAGCGGGGCCGGGCAGCAGCCGAGCTCCATCGGTTCAGGCAGCACGCAGCGGGGCAGCAGTGCTGCCGTCTCTGAGGCCCGGCACTTCCCTGCATCGCTGGGATGTGAGATCACATTTGGAAGCGGCTTTTGACTCCTCCCGCCTTGGTGGAAATTTTACACATGGTCGCCGGTAACTCGGGTGGCCGCGGAGACGCCGCCCCATCTGCCTGCGCGGGCGGCTGCTCTCCTCCCGCTCCTCTCCGGGCTTGGCTCGCCCATGGATTTACCAGCCCGCTCCTCTCCTGCCCCCTTCCCTGCTTCGGACCCAAGGATCTCCCCTGCCAGGTCCTGCTCCGCCGAGGGGATCTCAGAGCTCATTCTGCAAACTGCTGGTGCCAAGAGCACCGACTTGGTGAAGTGCAGCTGCAGAGAACGTGCTCTTCGTTACGGAGACTAATCCCGCCTCAGGCAGAGCTTCTCCCTCGGGCCAGGCTCAGCTTCGGTCTGCGTGAAAAGGTTGGGCCAGTCCTGCCCGCGTGAGGGAAGGAGCACGGCCGGGGCAAGGCGAAGCGCCAACGGGTTGAGCACAGACCGTGAATCTGTAGAAAATCAGGCGATTCAGTCTGCGTATCTCGGATAGCAGGTGCGCCCGTCTTGTCCCTGCGCCATCTCCTTCCAGCGCTGGCGGCTCCCGCGGTTTGCAAACAGCTGGGCGGGAGAAGCCCCCAGCTGAGGTTTAAGGTCAGAGCTTTGGCGAGTCGGCGCCTGGCGGGGCGGGAAGGGGCGTCCTGGCGCTGCCCGTGGCTCCCGCCCCGCTCCTGGTGCCGCCAGGCCGTGGCCCTGCGGGAGTTCTCGCTCCTGAGCATCACCTCGGCGCCGCGGTTTACCGGTTGCAATTGAAACCCGCGACCCACCGGGCTGGAAGGGGCACCCCGTGCCCGGCCAGGACAGGCCACCGCGGTGTCCCCTCGCTGCCGGCG